TTTCTCCTAACAAAGAAGGGAATGTTAAGCTAATTACTTTCAAAATTTTAATTGAATTCATCAATTAGTAAAGGTTTATTGAAATACTTATAACAAAAGGCCCTTCATTTTTCTTTTTTTCTTTCCTCTTAACTTCCCAAAATATTCTTTCTTAGGCATAGTTTTTCCTTGTGAATAATTAAGATACTTAGAACTCTTGGTCTGGGCTTAGAAAAATTTTACGACTATTGATTTTCCGAGGTGACTCATTCGCAAGTCACTTCTTAAGATAGAGCTAGAAACCCACCCCTGTGGATCGATTTTTCTGCTGACTCATTTTCACAAGAATTTTCATTTACAACTTCGGAAAACCCAGTCTCTAATCTGCATTTCCTAATTTCACCTTTCTATTTGCAGTTCTGGGAGATCATCTCCGATGAGCACGGCATCGATGCCACCGGCGCCTACCATGGTGACAGCGACCTGCAGCTGGAGCGCATCAATGTGTACTACAACGAGGCCTCCGGTGGCAAGTACGTGCCCCGCGCTGTCCTTGTCGATCTGGAGCCCGGCACCATGGACTCCGTGCGATCGGGACCTTTTGGCCAGATCTTCAGGCCCGACAACTTTGTGTTCGGCCAGTCGGGAGCCGGCAACAACTGGGCCAAGGGTCATTACACAGAGGGCGCTGAGCTGGTGGACTCAGTGCTCGATGTGGTCCGCAAGGAGGCCGAATCCTGCGACTGCCTGCAAGGCTTCCAACTCACACACTCCCTTGGCGGCGGCACTGGCTCCGGTATGGGAACCCTGCTGATTTCCAAGATCCGCGAGGAGTATCCCGACAGGATCATGAACACATACTCGGTGGTGCCGTCGCCCAAGGTGTCGGACACCGTTGTGGAGCCCTACAACGCTACGCTGTCGGTGCACCAGCTGGTGGAGAACACGGACGAGACCTACTGCATCGACAACGAGGCTCTCTACGACATCTGCTTCCGTACCCTCAAGCTGACGACACCCACATACGGTGACCTGAACCATCTTGTCTCCCTGACCATGTCCGGCGTGACCACCTGCCTGCGTTTCCCCGGCCAACTGAACGCTGATCTCCGCAAGCTGGCCGTCAACATGGTGCCCTTCCCACGTCTCCACTTCTTCATGCCCGGCTTCGCTCCCCTGACCTCCCGAGGCTCCCAGCAGTACCGCGCCCTCACCGTGCCCGAGCTGACCCAGCAGATGTTCGATGCCAAGAACATGATGGCCGCCTGCGACCCACGCCACGGACGCTACCTTACCGTCGCCGCCATCTTCCGTGGACGCATGTCCATGAAGGAGGTCGACGAGCAGATGCTGAACATCCAGAACAAGAACAGCTCGTACTTCGTCGAATGGATCCCCAACAACGTTAAGACCGCCGTGTGCGACATCCCACCCCGTGGCCTGAAGATGTCCGCCACCTTCATTGGCAACTCCACCGCCATCCAGGAGCTGTTCAAGCGCATCTCCGAGCAGTTCACCGCTATGTTCAGGCGCAAGGCTTTCTTGCATTGGTACACCGGCGAGGGCATGGACGAGATGGAGTTCACCGAGGCCGAGAGCAACATGAACGATCTGGTGTCCGAGTACCAGCAGTACCAGGAGGCCACCGCCGACGAGGACGCCGAGTTCGAGGAGGAGCAGGAGGCTGAGGTCGACGAGAACTAAATTCGAATCGAGACCTAATCGAATTCTCGATCAATGTTTTGCGAAAAAAAATGAAACGAGAACAAATTAATTCATTTGTAATAGATTTGTTCTCCTAACAACGTAATCAATAAAGTCGGATCCCATTTTGTTCACAAGTCTAAACATTGTTGGTTTTTAATTGGTTATTTGGGGGAAAACAGAAAATAAATCACATATCTTTAGTGGGTTACTTGGGGTAACTAGAAAGGAAATCATATGTCTTACGTTAGTTTTGGATCTCAGAAAATTGGTTTATATAATTTATGAGTTTTTTGATGCATATTTATTTTAGTGGCTAATTCTTGTTTATTTTAAAAGATTTGGAGAATTATGAGAAATTGTGAGGACAGCTGAAAACAAAGGGTCTCTTTCCACCTGCTGTATTTGTTTTGGCCAAGTGCGTAAGTTTTGTGATTGATAGTTTCATTCATAACATTGGTTTATTTTTAGATTTTTTTATTTATTAGCAGGTTTTTCTTTGCCCTACCTCAACATTCGCTCAAGTAGAGCAATAACAAAAATGATTTGCCCTTGAAGAGGACATGATATGATCATTTGGACGTAGGAAGTGGGCCCACGTATTGTACAATGATATTGTTTCGGCCTCCGGTTTTGTTGGCCTTGTAAGCAATATAAGTAATTAATATAATTTGTGTATCGTAGACATCAGACAGTAAGTTCCCACTCATAATTTTCATGTAGGTGGTATATAAGTCTGTTGTTTTACTGAAAACTCCCATTCCAATTTATGGTGTGTCATAAATAGTGAGTCATAATTCATAACCTTAATTCACTGAGTTGAAAATTATGAATTAATTGGTTGTTCAAATTAAGTCATAAATCAGTTCCTGTAGAATTGCTTTATTATGAATCTTATTAGACATGTTGATAAATCAATAGATTTAGTTTAAATATGTAGATGTACATATAGGGGCAAATAATTATTATAAATCAAATTTTAAATTCCTTTACATTGTATTTATTTCATTTAAAACGGTGTGATTTTTTATCATACGATTTTCCGCTAACTTATTTTTATATCAATTTTTATTAAACTATAAATTCCATTAAAAAAAATAAAATAATTATAAAATATTTAAAAATCGATAACTTATCGATTAGCAACAGTGCGTGGCCAGGGCTGCCAAAAACAGTGTGCAAAGTGTGTATTGATTGCGTGTGTGTGTGATTCGTGTGGCCGTGTGTGAGTGTCACTGACTGATATTTGACAAGTAAGAATAAAATATAAATAATAGAGCGTTTTTCGCGATCTAAACCAATCCTGTAACCCATTTGCCACCCCAAGATGATAGCAATGGACGAGCAGCGCGGCGACAAGATCTACGGCGGATGCGAGGGTCCGGACGCCATGTACGTGAAGCTGATTTCCTCGGACGGCCACGAATTTGTCGTAAAGCGCGAGCACGCTCTCACCTCCGGCACAATCCGGGCCATGTTGTCCGGACCGGGTCAATTCGCCGAGAACGAGGCTAACGAGGTGCATTTCCGGGAGATTCCGTAAGTAGGAGGAGGCCGAGACTGCGGCCCACAGCCCCGGCCGGCTGTAGTTCTCACCTGGCAGCGCCAAGTCATCGCAACTGTGACCTATTGACCGGCGACAATTTGCACAGCTACTTACATATGTACAATGTACATACATACGTGCATGCATCCCTATTTATGTACACACGAATGTGTACCATGAACACCCAACCAAAATGCACGGATTACAGATAGTTCAGTACGACTCAAATCTTCTGAGTATTATACGTAATCTTTGGTACAAACAACTACGGTCAAGAGATTAGCACAAAGTATGACAGCAATTTCATCACAATCAATAACACATGAGTGGTTCACAGTTTCTAAAACGAAGTGGCTAGACAACATTTTGGTCAGATCCAACTAAAACTAATCAAAAACTTACTTTTGAAGAAATAAATTTCAACTCTGATACAACTGCGGTCAAGAGATTAGCACAAAGTATTACAGCAATTTCATCACAATCAATAACACAGGAGTGGATCAAAGTTTCTACATCGAAATTGATAAACAAAATGTTGTTTTGATCTAACTAAAACTTTTTAAAACCTTTTGAAAAAAGTAAATTTCAACTAAGCAAAATACCAGTTTCAAATCTAATGTACAACTACGGTCAAAAGATTAGCACAAACCATGAAAGCAATTTCATCACAATTAATAACACACGAGTAGATCAAAGTTTCTAAAACGAAATTGCTAAACAAAATGTTGGTTAGATCTAACTAAAACTTATTGAAAACTTTTGAAAAACTAAATTTCAGCTAAGCATAACAGCAGTTTCAAATCTTAGGTACAACTACGGTCAAGAGATTAGAAAAGAGCACCACAGCAATTTCATAAGAATCAATAACACGCGAGTGAATTACAGTTTCTAAAACGAAATTGATAAGCAAACTGTTGGTTAGATCTGACTAAAACTAATTGAAAACTTTTGAAAAACTAAATTTTAACTAAGCATACCCACAGTTTCAAGTGTTAGGTACAACTACGGTCAAGAGACTAGCACAAATTAGAACGGCAATTTCATAAAAATCAATAAAACCCGAGCAGGTCACAGTTTCTAAATCGAAATTAATAAAAAAATTTGTATTTAAAGATTTTGGGGTATACTAACCAAAACATCAGTTACAAATTTCATTCTACTTATTTTCGAATTGATTGTAAAAATAGGAACAAGATTTAATTATAATTCGACTTTTTCTTATACATATGAAACGTACCAAATAGAGTTTCAAATGTATAAAATCTTTGTTTATTATTATAAGGAGATATTTTTGGTTTTATATTTTTAGAAATTGTAAACATTAGTTTCATTTTTGTTCTATTGATAAGTATGTTGCAACTAGCAGAAATTCCACACAGATTCGTTGTCATATTGTTAACACAAAAGGCGTGGCATTTTCATAGTGATCCCCTAATCAAGCAACTAATTATGGTTTCTTTACTTTTCAGATCCCACGTCCTACAAAAGGTCTGCATGTACTTCACCTATAAAGTGCGTTACACCAACAGTTCTACCGAAATACCCGAATTCCCGATCGCTCCTGAGATCGCATTAGAACTTTTGATGGCGGCTAATTTCCTAGACTGCTAAATTATATTGTTTAATTTGAATTTACATTATTTACAAGTAAACGGAGGAAGGCTAAAACGCGTAAAGCTTAATTCGCCCATGTTAATTTGTAATGAAACGAGAAGATTGTCCCTGCGAAGAAATAAATTTCTGTTGATTTCCTAAAAGATCAAATTTGTAATACTCTTTTTCAAAAAAATCAATGCTTTTTATTGAACATCAAGTAAAGTGGGTGTTAATTTAAAACTACTTGGAGTGCTTGGACCTGGATTTGGCGGCATTTTTGTTGTTTAACATGGCGAAACGCATTTGCTGGATAAGCCATTGGACACCCTCGCCAAGACCTTCGCCGGATACGGCACTGCTGGAGCAGATGTGCCAGGGTTTCTCCTTGATGTTTTCCAATCTGAGTGCTAAGAAAAGAATGTTCTTATTTTAGCTTCGCATATAAGCCATTTAAGAGTAGGAAATTAACATTTTAGGTGTTCAATTTAAGAGTCACTTGTTAAAAATACATATGTACCTGCTGCAATTTTTACACTGGACAGAGAATCCTCCATGTCCATTTTGTTTCCATAAAACAGAATTGGCACAATACGGTTGCACAGGTCGGGATGCTGCAGCACGAGATCCAGCTCATCTTTTACCACCACTGAAATGGATACTTTTAGCAAGGCGAGTTTTTAATTTCCTCCATATCATATACCAAATCTCATGCGATCGCTGGAATCAATCACATATATTATTCCATGACAGTTCTTAAACTGGTGCTCCCAGAGGTTCCTGTATCGTGTGGCTCCGGACATATCAATTGCCTTTATGGAAACACCAGACATGCCTGTTCCGATAGGATAGTTGTAAGTACGTGTACACTGGGTGCTTCGAATGTTCCACAACCACTTACTATAAAACTGCTCCACCATAAAGCCAACTGTGGGCACCACGATGGAAGTCTGTTCGCTGGATTTCTTAAAATGATTGATTATCGAGGATTTTCCGCTGTTGTTTAGTCCCAGCACCAGAATCGTCATTTTATCCTTTTTAATCTTTATCAAGTCGGCCAAATTGTGCAACATTCCCATTTTACTATGCGAGTAGCATCAGCTTTATTTTGTTTACGACGATACTTTTGACATGTTTGGCCCTGCAAAGGACTTTTAATTGCCATGGCAACGTCTTTATGCTGGCATCGATTTATTGAAACTTTTGGCCACCTTCAACTTTGCCTGCCGCTTCCGATTCGCTCGCCCACACACATTTTCAAGTTCACCTGGGGCGTGACATTGAATATTGGCTCAATAAGAAGAAACGGTAGTCCGGTTAAAACAAAAAAGAATGTATAATGTATATTTTTCAGTTTTTAGTTACTTAAAATTGTACTAACTCGGTTGTAATGTACTCAATTTGAATAGTTTATCCCATTTTATTAAAACTATATTTTTGGACTCATGATTTCTAGGAACAGGAGATCCTCTTTTGCATAAAACGAAACCTTGTAGCCTTTGTTTTCATTATAATTATTTCTATACGTTCTAACTATCCAATCGCTTTCAAATTGAGTATAATGCGGAGAATTAAAAAAAAAGGATTCGACTTTAAACCAGAAATATCTCTTTCAAGATATGCATGCACGACGCTGCTTCTATTGAATTTTGCGATTTTGAACTTCTTTAGGTGCAAAACCAAGATCACAAAACCAATACATTGTTATTTTTCTTTAAAACAGAAAATATATTTTTGACTTTGGGTTGTGGTAGCTCCCATAACTTCATTAATAAGGAAACAGTTTTTTTTTTTAAAACCAGCTTCTGGTGCAAAGTCTCATCGACTTCAATTTGTAGGTTGTTTCACTTAAATGAGTGTTTATAGATAGCAGTCCCTTACTTTAACTGGCGTTTAAGCAAGGCGATATATCCGGATACGTATTCGACAGTTTTATATATAGCTCTTTGGTTCTGAACAGAAACGCTGCGCTATTTATTTTGATACTTACAAAAATTTAATGAGGAATGGATTGTTTAGACCGATCCAAATTAGAGTACATTGAATGGTTTAGACCGAAATGATAGTTAATGTTTAGTTTGTATGAATCCAGTCAGTTGTAACTATTGGCGATAAATAATGTGGATCAGAATTACGAGTTTTACGTGTTGACACAAGCCAAGGTTTATTTTAGAATTCTTCTTAAAAAACATGGTTAGAGCTCCTCTACTTCTTGGTGTTCAAGATGATACCATCGTACTTCTGCTGGAACCACTTCATGGCATCCTCCTTGGTGAGGCGGTGCTGGAAGCCAACAGTGCCGGACTTGCGCTTCCTGTGGTTCACGTTGTAGCCTGTAAAATGCCAGAGATACAGGAGAATAAGTAATGGTCAAAGCTGGTAATTCAGGGGAGAAACTGTAGAAATTGTACCGTGTGGACCTGCATGTGGTGAAGCAAGTCCAACTAAGCACATCTTCTTTGTTATGCGCACATTCACTGAGCATCAGAGCCTCGATTGGCTGAGATACCTAATTAAGTGCGCGACTATGGAGGCGAAGGAGGACGATGCTTACCAGGGCGGCCCAGGACGACGTAGAAGTCCAGACCATAGATACCGATGGAGGGATCGTACTTGATGCCCAGATCGATGTGTTCCTGGATGCCGAAGCCAAAGTTGCCGGTGGAGGAGAAGTTCTCGCGACGCAGCTCGTACTCGCGCACCTTCAGGCCACGCTCCAGGATTTCCTCGGCCTTGGCGCCGCGAACCGTGCAGTGGACAGCGATCTTCTCGTTACGACGGATACCGAACGAACGCACGGTGTAGCGGGCCTTGGAGAACACTGGCTGCTGGCCAGTCAGCTGCTCCAGCACCTGTTTACATAGATACAAAGTATTCCAGTTAGCCATTAACCATGGTGACGGTTTAGACCACTATCTCACCTTGGCGGCACGGGTCAGCCTGTCACCAGACTCGCCCACGCAGATGTTCAGGCAGAGCTTGCGGATGTGCAGGTTGCGCATCGGGTTCTTCGCGGGATCGCGCTTAATCTTCTTCGTAACAGCCTAGAAACAATCAAGGGATTTCGTCAGTTTTTGTGGTTCCACTGTAAACACACCGTACAAATTTCCAAGCATCACATCATCGCACGTCGCACTTTTGCATCCCAAAAATACGGTCGAAAATATGTCGATGCGGTCACAATTTGTTCGTAAACCTACCGCCATTATGGTATGTAGGGAAGAAAGCTGCTCACAGGAATTCCTCGCTGCAAGAAAACAATTTAAAAGCTGTTTAATAAAAATATCACCAAAAAAAACGCGGACCACTCACCGGAAACTTGTAAGAAAAGAAGGAAAGGTTAGTGTGGCCGCGGTGAGGCGCTCAGAAGGGCCTAAAAAACACCCGACACGTGCTGTTGTCGTGCTGTTATTGAGCTATCGTGCTGTTAAGCGCAATATGTTCCATCACTAGCTGTAATAATGGAAAACAATAAACAAATGGGGTATTCCGTATATTGTTAAGTGCATAATTGTTGCATTCTAACAGCTGGTTACCAGATGTTTCATGTAAATGCAACTGCAGTCTGGTCAGCAAGACCCAGTTTGCTCAGAAAAATAATTAAATTGCTATGCGCGATGTTAATACTCAGATAAAAAGGTATACATATGTTAACAGACTGTCTCTCATCCCAGTTTACATGTATCTAAAATTTGGTGATGTTTTTTCTTTGTTTATGTTTTTTAAGAGGACAGAACTTGAATTTGTTTTAAATAATAAAGTAAGACATTGACTTTTCTTTTGTTTTTACTAACTAACGCGCTTTCACTTTTAAACTTGTACATACGTTGTTAAGACTACAATGTGTACTTTTACGATTAAAAACGGTAATGTTATACGAAACAGAGAGATTATTTATTATTATTATTTTATTATTCAATATTTTCAGAAATGTTATTTGTCCTTAATAAAAAATTTATTTTAATTTGAAAAGGTAAGTTCAAAGTTATTTGAATTATTTTATTAAGTTAAAAAGGTAATTTCAACTTAACTAAATAATTGAAGTAATTTTTATAAAAGACCAAAAAATAATATTTTTTTAGATTAAAATACATTTTTTATTTAATTTTTATTTTAAATGGAAGAACAATTTACGGATTACATTTTAACTGGCATCGATTGATGCAAAAATCGACAAAGAAAATTATATTCTTTGGACCATCGTAATAATTGATTGTATAATGTATACATTATACATTATACATAAGTATACTAATTAAAAACATGATTTTTAATATATGATACAGGCCTCCAGACGCACGCCACTTGAAAACTTCCAATGCGCCTATCTCGAAATGCTATTTTTGGAGATGTGCGTAGTAAGTGTGCGACATTTTATTGTATTTATTTATTTATTTAATGCTTACTTCTAGTCTGAAACCATAAGCTAACTAAAGGCAATTAGCGCCAGCAGCTAGGGCTTACCTCTCGTCTAGTGTAAAAAGACGATACACATATCTACACACAACAAAATTTTCTTGGTCAAATTGACCAATGCATTTAGTTATGTTACTTTAAAAATAGTACTTTACTAGTTTTAATTTAAGGTTAAGGTACTTAATGGATAAGCATAGTTATGTTCGTGAATTTGTGATTTCTAAACAACCAAATCTTAAATCCGCCACTGGTCTAAATAGTTAACACACTTTTAACAAGAAAGGAAGTTAACTTTGGCAAGCCGAAGTTTGTATACCCTTGCAGTTCTAATTATTTAAAAAAATACAAAAAATGATATTCCCAACAGTAAAAGATAATATGTATGTTAATAAATACCGAAGCTATAATTTGTTTCATATTACTTTTCAATTTTTTTGATAGTTTCGATGGCAGTTGCCCGATTTTATAAAATTAAATTTGAAATCCAAATAATTAAAATATTCTATTTCCAAGCGTAGGAGGCTATATGTTAAAAACACCAAGGATATAATTTAAAAAAATTTTTTTTCTGATCTGGCTGGTTTATTTTATATACTACCTGCAAAAGAAAGAAGATTTTTGGTAAAGTTTTAGCCCAATATCTTTAAAACTAAGATATTAGATTACGTAGAAACGGACGGACCGACGGACATGGCTAGATCGACACGTCTAGTGATGCTGATCAAGAATATATATACTTCATGGGGTCGGAAACGTCTCCTTCACTGCGCTGCAAACTTCTAAATGAAATCATAATACCCTCTGCAAGTTTATAAAAATTGTTACCCTATCGTAAAATCTGGAATCCACGAGTAAGGGGTATATTAAAATGCCAACCCTAATTTCCTGCCTTTTTTTCTTGGTGAAACCATAAAAAAAGGTTTAAGTTTATCTATCTCTATGGTGGCGTGGAAATAAATGATTTAAGTTTTTTTTTATGTAAGTAGCATATCCTGATTTTCGCAGGCGAAGCTAAGGGCGACCTTGCTAGTCTTTGGTATAATAGAACATATATCTGTATGGTGTGCCTTCCACTTATCTAGCTTGCGGAAATGAAAAGTAAATAGATGTATTACGGCTTCTGTGATACACAGAGAAAATTCGCTTTGGACTTGTGTGAAGCGTTTTACCTAGCAAAATATTTCGACCCTTTTGGACAGCAGCACATCTAATTATCTGTGAGGATTACAATGCTATCTCTTACTTTAATCTCGATGGAAAAAATGCTGTCGTTCACGTGAATGATATACAATCCGCCATAACCTACTGTGTAAGCACCATTCCACCCAGAACAGCAGCCACATAAGAACGTATTACCCATAAGATGAGCGATGGACCATCCAAAAGTCGGAGAATTGCCGCAGGAACGTTCATTGAGTTTTTCAGAGTCACCGCTAATGGCACACAAAACCATGAAGCAGGTAAGGTCAAGGATATCAAATTTCCTGGGAAATGTCTTATTAGTGAATGATTCCAGAATGAGGTGCCCCAGTGGACCTGGTCCCTCAAGTGGGCGGCCATAGGATCTTCGATTGGAGCGGCGGTTCCAGTGGGATATTGCACGGGTGTTATGAACAGTCCCGCTGAGGTGAATATTTTTTAATTCTACCAGTACCCCTTGAGTTCTCAACGTATCCCTACTCTTTCCCCCAGGTTATGCGATCCTGGTGCAACGAGACATTGATTGCCCGATACGATCTGGATTTGGGAGAGTCAGGATTGGAGCTACTGTGGTCAGCCCTTGTCTCTATATTTCTGGTGGGCGGCGCCATTGGATCAGTGGTGGGCGCTACGGTGGCCAAC